CGCATAGAGCCCCTCCTTGAGCCGCAAAGAAGATCTCCGTGTTGGTTTTGGCAACACCATTAGGGACTTCCCCGCCCGAAGTTCGCGCTTTGAGCACTTGCCGTGTGTGTTTACCTCAGCTCGTTTCCATGGCCCGCCGTGTTTTGTTTGCCTATTTATCCCGCCCATCGCAGGCGCAAATCCTGCAAATGGCGCATTGTGTTGCTTATCTGACGGAGAAAGCGAGGAGAGCGGAGTAAGCGAGGAAAACGGAGAAAGCGTAGAAAGCAAGGAACGCACCGCGGAAAAGTGCTTACATTTGCGCAAATGCAGCACAACAAACACAAGCAAACAAGGACAAACACTGGGAGCTGAGGAAGACGTTGGCTCTGTTATTTAAATAAATCGTTGCATACTTTGTGGCATGCCCTATGTGGGAGATGGGCGTGGAGTGGAGGGGAATGGAGCGAAGTGGAGCGGAGTGGAGTGGAGTGGTTACAGAGTAAAACTTTAAATCTCATTTGAATTATTGTGGCGGAAAAAACCGCTCGACAGTTGCGATGTTCGCTCTTTGTCTGCATTCTGTTGCATACTTTATGGCGTTTTAAGTGCTGCGACAATTTCGCAAATGCTGCAGAATGTGTAGTTGTGCCACCGCCTGTCGCTTGTTGCCTGTCAGGCATCCGTAATGCGCCCTGCTAAATGAAATTATGCAGCACTCCGCCCTGCTCGCCCTGCTGTCTGCCCCTGACCCAATTTGGCCCGGCAGAAAGCGAGCGCGTAATTAAACAAGCGGTCGACATCGGGCCACAGGGCGATCATTGCGAATATGAGAGGCATTCTTTTGCACCGGCTGAGCGGTAAGCCGAGCAGCGAAACACGCTAATTTTCACCAGGGAGTGCTGGTCGGAATTTCAAGGAGTGCCATTGAAACCGAACCCCTTGTGCGGATGGTCAATCGAAGTGGAAATTATTAAAAATATGTCGAGTGGCCAGAGAGCGAAAGTGACGGCTATTTAGAGTTCCCTCTGAAATTTCAGCGTTCCGCAGTCACTTGACTTCCCTGCCAGATTCTACCTCACTCTATGGAGTGTGGTCGACCATAAATTATAAAAAGCCGGTTGACTTCCATTGATTTCCACACGCCATTAGCTGCTCGTGCTATTTCGAGCTGTTTCGCAGCGCACCTCAAAGCGGTCTCGGGCAACTAACCGACAACTTTAAGCTGCCAGCAACCGCAGCCACCGCTTTTCCCGCTTTTCGGAGTCGGGATGCCACTTGATCATTAACAGTGAACCGCGGTGGGCGGAGAGCAAGGATGCTCGACTCGGGACCTGCACTATTTAACAGCTTCGAGCAACAGCAAACGTAAATCAAATGCCACATTTTGCACTGGCAGCCTCGCGGCTGCTTCTCCACTTCTGCTCCACTCCTTCCAATGCTATCGTATTTGTAATTTTAAACAACTTGAAATATGTACGGGACGCCCATAGGGTTGGTATAACATCGATAGTGTGCTATCGATGGTGTTTACTATCGATACTATTGATAGTATCGAAAATTGTTCAATCTCAGTCAAGAAGAACGAATTGTCAATAAAATCAAATCCGAATTCCTCATTTATTCTATTCGACGTTTATTACGAAGCAAATTAACGAATACATATTAAAAATGTACTCCAAATATTCTTCAAACTTACAGAAATACAAAGTTTTTTTTTTAGAGCGATAGAATCGATGGTTAACTCAAACCATCGATATTTTCTAAATTCTTCGATCATCATAGTATCAAAAGTGCTATCGATTGATTAATTAAACCAAGTCGCCCAAACATTCTACACCGAACAAATTTACATGACATTAAAAAAACCGTATATCCTTTCCTCATCAATTTGATTTTCTGACAGATAAAGGGCAATATTAAATAGGGTATAGGCTAGCAAAACATTAACATTTGAAATTCGATTTTCTTAAATGTTGTTTGTGGAATCACAGTGAAAGGAATGTCTAGCATGGCTCAATCCTAAATCCTAAACTCTTTTCCAGCAATTAAAAACTATTTGTAATGCTATAAATTTACATATCATATCATATCAACTAATAATTTTTTAAAGTACATCAATCTTGATGTGAACGATTTTAAATAGGGTAAAGGTTAACATTTAGAATTCGATATTCAGAATACCAAAATGAATGGGCCTTCTTAAATATTGTTTGTGAAATCACAGTACATTCATTCTAGCATGACTCTAACTTAAATTTAACTCTTTCCTAGCAACGAACAACAAATTGTAACACTAAGAATTTGAACTTTAATAAATAATCATTATTTGAATTAAATCATTCTCGATTTTAAGGACAATGTGTGCTGCATTTCTCTAGAGCGTGTCACGCCCACATCACTGACTGTTGAACAACGGGGACAGAGAGTCCTTCTTGGCATGCCAGTGCAGTACAGCTGGCAGCTATTGGCTTCAGAGTGGGAGGGGACTGCAGGAGTTGGCTGCCAACTGTTGGCTGGTGCTGCTGCACAAGCTCACACAATTTTGATTTATTATTTTGATTCCCGTTACTTTACTACCTGCCAGGATGCAGCCGGGAACTGGCAGGACGCCTCCTCGCAGCCACATCATTGTATCCAGAGCACGGTCGTCGTCGAAGCTCTCCTTTATTTTTATTCACACGGTTTCTGGTTTTATTGCTCCAATTACTTCATGTACTACTCGTTCTTCCGCCCTCCCCCTCTCTCTTGACTATGTATCAATGGGTGGCTCTAGAGAAGGTTTAATACTTTTTCCTCTGCTTTCTTTTTACTGTTTTAATTTATCGTACTTTCAGACCATGAGAAGATTTCTGCTGGGGTACAGAGTGCAATAGGAAGTTTTCAAGCTCTTCATTCAGCAACATCAGTGCGGCGGATATATGGCATCACCTTTTGGAGGACTTAAAAACAGGGTTAAGTCCATTTAAGAGTTGGCATTTTTTACCCCTTGCATTCATGTCACCATCCAACCATCCAACCATCCAACTATCCAACCAGCCAGCAACAACTTGATACCAATTAAGCACTCACAATCATATGCTGAAAGGTTGGAGCTCTCCATTCCACCACTTCTCCTCGCCCTCGTCGTAAAGCAGCCCTCGTCGCAAAGCTATTTTGTGCTGGGTTTTTCGCGACCCGCTCGACACCTGTTCCTTTTTTGGCTCCGCCCGTCGAGATGCAGTATGCAAAACGCTTAACTGCACATAAAATATACAAAACTAACTTAGTTCGCGCATATCGCAGGGCATAACTCATGGGCACCCGGCTACCCACCTTGTGGCCCCACCACCGGCACTCCGCGTGTGCCACTTGCCATTTGTAACTGGCTGCACAAAAACAAAACTAGTGACAATAAAAGAGCGCACAACCAATTCCTAACGAGCTTCGCTGGAGCTGTTTTGCCAGAGATTGCAGTGAAATGGTGGGGTTGCCACCAGCAGAGCAGAGCATTGGCTTCTCGTTGGGGTCACCTCGGGGCAGGGCTTGAAGAAGGATCTTTAGCCCGAATGAAGATTGAATAATTTCGCTCTAACCGAGATCCAACTCGGATTTGATCTCCGCCAGCGTCGGCGTGGACACAGCTTAGAGGCACCAAGCATTACCATATCAAAGATGTGTATTTTTAAATCCCCACTCGCATCGCACTCCGCTAATGGCAACTGCTGAGTGGATGCAACAAAGCGAGTGCACTCTGCGGGGCGTGCAGTGGGGCAAAGAGTAGGTGCAGCTGCGGCGGGTTGTGTATAAATTCATAAAGAGGGACCCGGCAACGGGCGTCGAGGACGGCGACTGCGGCAACATGTTGTAATTGCGTATTTTATAGATATGCGCAATCCTTTCGCGGGGAGGAAAGGAGTGGGCGGTTGGTAGTGGTTGTATCTGCCATTCGCTCTGTTCGCTTTTGTTTGGTGCGGAAATGGCAGCCGGTGTGCAGCGAAATATGGCAGCAAGAGCAACAACATCACGCATACGCCATGTTGCGCCATTTGAAGTTGTTGGCGTATACGTAATTTTTATTTTACAAGCAAACAAAAACGAAAAAAGGAAAACAGAAAACAGAAAACATTCAGCGCTGAAAAATGCATTCAGAGCCGCGGCAATAACAAAAATGGCACACAGAGCACAGAGAAATTTTAATTGCTCAAAAAGCGTCGTCAGGGGACAGGGCAAAATACATATGCACATATGAGCTGGTGGAAAGCGGGGTCCGCCAAACTAAATTTGGGTCCGTTATGAGGGACGTTCCTTTTTATGACTTTTAATTCAATCAAAGTTAAATGGAATTACAAAGGGAAAACATCAATTATAATTTTTTCTATGCTGTTTGGTCACACAGATTTAGGTTTGGGTCGCAAAGTTAGTTAGATTGAAATCTAACATATACTTGTCATACACAAATTGTTTGAAAATAGAGCCTTTTGTGCACAAACACTTTCAGCATAATGATTTTGCTATCACTCTCCTCGTTCATTCCATCATCTTGTTTTCGGCGTGACCCTACGTGCACACATTTGCATATCATATTTTTTTTAAGCACCAAGTATTTGTATACAGGTGAAAGTGAAAGGCTGCTCCAAAAGAAATAAAAAGAAATTCACAAAAAGTCGTACGCAAATGCGCACTTTGCACGCCCTTCCCCTTTCTATATCCAGTTTGGGTGTGCTTCGTCGGGTGTGTGCATTATCAGCCATGTGTGAAAATCAGGACATGCGCGTGGGAGGAAAGGCTTTGTTCGGGCGACATTAGATACTAATGATGATAATACAGACTCGGCACGGAAAAGCTTTCCCTTATTTTTAATGTGATATTCATCACCGGGGTGTTCCAGGGCTGACATTCAGTGTGCAGCGGCATTTGACTGTGAATGTTTGGATAAGCATTTTGAATGTGTTATCCGATTTTGCCTGAAAGGATATAAAACAGACACTCGGCGGTGAACACATAGCTGACTTTCAAAGTAATTTCAATTTGATTTTCTCATGGTTTCTGATAAGTACTGCCCATTTATCCAGTATTGTCTCTTAGAGCTTCTCTACGAGGGTGCCTATAGTACCGATCTGTTATTGAAATACAAAGGATGGCTGACCTTGGTCAATGCAAAGCGGGTTTTATTTTCTGATGGTGTGTGGTGGTGTCAACGACTCTCCAGTACAAAAAAGCAATAATACGATCCTGCTGAACGCTGAATTTAACATCTCAGACACTCTGTCGGAACGAAATGACTTGCTACATGAGTGCACGAAGCCGCGAAATCCGAATTTCTTCATTTTCGAGTGTCAGGGAGAATCTGCGATCCATTATGCTTCCAAAGTTAAGCAGAAACGGACGACTGACGGGCAGTTTGAGTTTGGACTGGAACTGGACTCTTCTGCGGGACTGCCATCTTCTGGTGCTTTGGTTTTCGGCCTGGTGTGGGTCTTGCTTCAAAAGTAATACTGCTGTCACCTGATAAATTCGAAATTTAAGTCGACTCTAAGTCTGTGCAAAATGCGTTTCTGCTCCATGTTCGTGCTGCTCTACATAGTACGCAAGCTGGAAAAAGCCAAGGGAGGATGCCAGCTCGAAGGAAGGATGGCGGTGGACGGATCCTCAACTCGAGTGCCACAGACCACTTTGGCGCAGGGACGCCAGAATATAGGGCTTTTACGCACGCTGCTCAAAATTTTTCTCAAGTGATTTTGCTAGGTTCCTCTGTTTGTCAATAAAGTATAAGAATTTCGCAGCCCCAGACCTCTTTAACACTGTGTAGTTAATGACTTAGCTTAAAGTCTTGGCCACAAGCTTTGAGTGGTGGTGGGACCACCACAGGCCAATATGGCGGCAGTCCATATAAGCACATAAATTACGCCAACGCCAATGACAATGACGACAATGAAATGTGATGCCCCCATTCCCGCTACCTTCTCGATTCCCGCCGTTTGTGTGCGTTGTGTGTGTGGCAGTGGCAGTTAGCTGGCCTGTGTGTGTGTGTGTGCGGCTGTCCATGCCTGCATTTGGCTGCCATTGTTGGGATGTCTAAAATTTCATGCCACAACAGCGGCAGCGACAGCAACAGCAACAGCCAGCTGGCCAACTACAATGGTCTCTGCTGAACTGCTAGTTGGAGTTGGCCGCCCATTTTGTTTATCCGAGTAAAGTAAGCAGCTTCGAGATAATGCATGCAATCACAGGGCAAACGGGCCCGCAGATGAGAGTGGGTTAAGAGAGGGGTTAAGAGAGGGGGGAGCGGTGGCGGTGGATTAGGTGACAACCCAGAGGTGACTGACCCGTCATGATAATAGACCACTAACTATCCAGAACCATTTTATTGACATAGTAAAATAGCAAAATATCGCGTTAGCAGAAAGTGGATTGTGGGCACAAGAAAGTGGAAGTAAGGCGAGCGTTTTACGGTTGGGCCCGCCTCACTGGTCTCCTTGATGTTCTTCTTCATGTAGGCAATGGCCACCGAGATGGGCGGCGAGTCGTCCGGACAGGGGATCGCGGCACACGCGTCGTACAGGTCCGTGGTGTAGTGGAACGGGAAGTTGATGCACTGCAACTGGGCGGGGTCTGTGTTCGGCTCGACGAAGTTGCGGCCGTCGCAGTAGAACTGGCCCTCGCTCATGACCACTGTGTAGCAGCTGAAGAGCGGCGAGTCGTAGAAGGAGATGAGCAGGTAGGCCGGGTCCATGGTGTCGGACCGCCTCCAGATCGCGTACGGCGTGCCCAAAGCCAGGAGGCGGTCCTTGTGCTGCAGCCGCATGTCTTCAACGTAGCTGCCGTGGCAGACGTACTGCAGGATGTAGCCCTCGATGAAGGTGCAGTTCGGGTCGGTTTCGCATAGAGTTGGAGCGGGTCCGAGGAGCAGTAGGAGCAGTAGGAGGAGCACTCGCCGGAGCAGTGGGTGCGGGCAGTGGGTCTGGACCTGGACCTGGAGCTTGGTGTTTGGCGTTGACGTACTCGGCTGCCGCAGGGCATGCCGAGGAGGATGTCGAGGATTGATCAGACTTCGTGCGCTTGAGAGGCGCACTGGCATTGCTTATAGACAAACGACTCTTTGATCATTTTCAAAAAATTTGATGGGAATTTCCAGGAGAATTAAAACGCCAAATAGTCCGGCCTGACAGGAGTTTCTCTCGTTTCTTGCGTTTCATAGCTTACCACCGGTTGCTCCACAAACCCAGGAGCTCCGCGATCCCTGGCTGAGTTCGGGCTGCCCGGGATGGGATTTGACGGTCCGGAACCAGCCTCGCATAGTGGATGGCCACGTGACTGGGCTCCGGCTTGGTCGACAGACCACAGTGCTTCATCAGTGCCCGTACGTAGGAGAACGAGAAGTCGAAACAGTGGATGGCCTCGGGTCGGATGTGGATGCCGTGCTCCTCGGAGTTCGAGCAGTGCAGGCAGTTGAGGCTCAGGGTAACGTTGGTGCAGGCCGAGATGGGTGACTCGTAGAAGGAGGCGAGCAGCTGGAGGCTCGGCTGGCGCCGCCACCAAAGCCAGTAGGGCGCGTCGGCCTTGACCCAAATGTCTCGGTAGTTCAGCTTCAGATCGGAGCTGTAGTGGGACTCACAGGCCAGCGTGAAGGGGTGATCGTCTTCCAGCATGAAGTCGCAGGTGTCGAATGAGCCCTCGGAGGCGGCGAAGAAGTACGCGAGTGGCAAAAGCCACATACTCCAGGTCATGGTATAAACAGGGAATGGAACTGACTGGTAAGACATGGCTACTATTACAGCTAAAAGGCTAATGAATTAAAGGACAGATCATTTAAACTTATAATTTGGTTGTTTAATCAATCCGAAAAGAAGAACACATTGGCTGTTACAAAATCAATGAATGATCACCGCGAACACGACAAGCAGCAGGACTCCAACCGGACTTGATTCAGTTGAGACACCAGACGTCACCACGGGTTTTTTGAACGAGAGGGAGCCATAGTGGAGGATCGGCTTATTGGACACATCACCTCCATCAGTGGCGATGCCGTAGCCAAGGCAGTGCCGTTTCAGCTCTTTCGGATAGCGCATACTGAAGGAAAAGCAATGAATGGTAGACGGAATGACGAACAGAGGGATGTTGGTTAGGTTCCCATAGTTCACCAGGAAGAAGTGCTTATTCCAGTCTCCCACTGATCCTTGCAGCGAGATGGACTCGTAGTTCGCCAACTGTATGGTGTAGAACGAGATCAGGAGAATCGCGTCGCCGCCCTCCTTCTCCTCGCCCTCCCACACACTGAAGGTCGTGTCGGGGGGAGCCCGGTTGTCGTGAAACAGGGAGTACATGTCCTGTGTGACAGTACCCTTGCAGACGAACTTCAGAAGTTCATTTTTGGCGAAGGTGCAATTTCCCGAGCTGTGAAGAGCAAGAGTTTGGACTAAGGGCCACACTAGGATTAATCCAACAAAAGTCAAATGTAAGTGCATATTAATCGATAACAATTTCAAATCCAAACTCAGCTGACGTGATCAACAAGGCTATAGGATAATACAAAGCAGGTATTTGATTGTTGAAGTTGTTACCAATCGACGACAACATTTATATTGGTCAAACATTTCATTCTAATTAAAATTCATACAACTGGGCAAATCAATATTCAACAAATTGAGAAAAGAGAAAAAGAGAACAAGTTTTCCGTTTTACTTACTTTTTTTTCGTTTTAAAGTAACTGTCATGTTCTAGGATTCTAGAGTACGAACAACTTTGACAAAAAGTTTAGTTTCAAAACAACTTTTACTAGCCAATGATGGTAAACTTGCTTCAACTCAATCAAAGTAATTAAACATTATCGCAGGGTTTGCAATATATTTAATTTTCAACCACATACCAACTTTTCGCAGAGTACGAAGGAACAAAATATAAAATACCTTATATATGTATACAGTGATCCGCTTTGAAATCCCATTCAAGTCGGGTGGGTCTGAAAGTTTGCCAATCATTTTAAAACTATGCAATAAAAGTTTAGTTTATTTCTACTCCAAGGCTCTATTTGGAAAGGTATTAATTTCTTGACATGAACATAAAACGAATATAATTTAATCTAAAATGTGAAGAATAAAAACATTCAAAAAAGTAAAGCAGCACCATTTCAAAAGGACATGTAAACCAAATTGAATGGTGCGATTTACTTTTTCAAAACATCTGTGCTAGCTTCTTTGTCAATATAATATATTATTAATATATAAAAGGAATCGAGTTGGGACAAAATTGTCATACACTATACGATTTTTTATTTGATGTAATAATTAAAACCGTTGCTCGTAGAGTAAGAGGGTATATTTTATTCGTTGAATAGTATGTAACAAGTAGAAAAAAGTGTTTCTATGTCTTTCCGTCTTTCCGTTTGTATAAACATCGATACTTCGGAGTCATGGTAGGGTTCAGTTATAAAGCTGTATATATTAAATCGGTCAATATTTATCGACTTCCAGAAATATTTTGCAAATGAAAACATTCTAGTAGTTATAACCATTAAGGTAAATTGTCCGGCGAAAGGTTTTACATTAATCCCGATTATTTTCGGGGGGCATATATAATATTTAGCTATTGGTTATCTGAGAAACGGTATCTAATCGTGGTAGTCCCGACCATAATGTTTCCTTTTCATTAATTTCGCTATGTCCTGTATATTCCTGCTGCCTAATATATACTGCTGAACTAGAGCCTTCCCTAAAATCTTAGCAAAAACAAATTCTTAAATGTTGGTTAATTCTTAAAAATGGGAAGGGGGTCAAAGCCCAAGCCTCTTTTCTATTTATTTACCTCGTTGTCCTACTCCTGTTATTTAATCTGTTACTCGATTTCACTGCATCAACTACGTGCCACACGAGTTGCTCGATCGGATGAGACTAGCGAAAGTAAAGAAATAAAATTCGACAAATTGATTTACATATCAGTCCTTGTGTTTGCAGCCATTGAAAGGGCTGCAGCAATAAAATGAGTGAGGCAAGGAAGAGGTGGCAGGAGGGAGTTTACTTTCAATTTCGCCCCAATGACAATTTCTCTGATTTAACTCCACTCTGCTGGCCTGAGTCTGGCCCTTGGCCTTCTTTGCCTTCTCTGCCTGCCTTTATTAAATTACAATAATAAATGGGGGTGTATTTGCTCGGCGAAGCTGGCAGCACCAACAGAATGCGTCTCAGGGAAACGAAGTGACAGCTCAGTGTGTAGCGCAGGTGTATTGTCTGCCCGATATAAAGCCCAAAGAAAAGAACCGAATGAAGTCGGGTGGATGCCAAAACTGCCAGTGAGTGACATTCCCGAGCAGAACCCCTTCTGGCATATATTCAAAGCTGAAATTACAATTCCATCTAACCGTTCGCCAGACTTTGCCACTGGCACCGCCGCTCACTGATGTCTCTGGAACACTGGAACACCCCCAGTCCTCTGCCCCACCACTCCTCTTCAGGATTATCCATGGAGCAGCCCTTGTGCCGGCTTTATTGTAATTTTAATACATGTCACATGATTTACAGCTGTCGATGCCTTCGGCACCTCTCGTTCCAAAGGCTTCCCAGGTGGTGACAGCTTTGGCTTTGCTCCACTTTGGCCCTCCTGCCGCTGACACATTGTCAATGAATAAAAAGATCCACAATCGCAGCTTGCAAGTTGTGCTGTGCTGATGGAGCCATGTCCTTGATGGAGGACTGCAAAATTCTTATGAATCAGAGTACGCTAAGAAAGCGGCCATATTGAAGGACCTCGATTAGGCTAACTGGTTAATTGAAATGAGGCAAGCAAAAGCAAAAGCAATAGTTGACTATTTCGAGGAACTCGGAAACCATATGTTTTAGTAATGAAAGCAGCTTGGGGAACAAATACCGAGAGATGAAGCACTCTAGTCGCCAACCTGCAGATGATGGGCAAGTCAAAGGAGCACAACAAGTGGTGCAGGATATAATTCCATTAGTAAAATAAATAAACAAAGGACAAATGAATGATTGAGCAGGAACAGCCAGAGTACTCCCTCCTGTCACGACCAGAATCGAGCGGCCAAATCTTAAACCTAAGGCGTCGCGTGCATAAACCAAATGCAAACACCCACACCCACCCAAACAAACCAACACACAACCAGGAACTATCCTCCGCATATTTCGCTGGGGTCTCCAAGGATGTCACTCGACTGCGGCCTGCTGAATACATATTACATGAGACGCCCAAGCAGCGAATACACACATTGACCCATTTCGATGCCACCAGACAGGTCCTCACCCCCACTCACCCCCACTCATAGACAAAGCGGCCAAAGAGCCAAGCCAGGCACCTGTGCCGAGGAGCCTCTGAGTAGTTTTGCTTAATAAAGTCAAATGCCACCAAAATCAAAAGGAAAACGCCACTTACGACTAATGGCATCACGACATCGGTGGCGAGATTCCACGAGGACCTCATCCTCACACAACTGTCCACGCTGCCAGCAGCAACCACAGTCACAACAACAGCATCCATGGCACTCAGATATCCGCCAGAACCTTGCGGCCTCTGCAGAGTTAGGGAAAATTGGTGGATTTTTAATTGTATTAACATCGCTCAGCAGCACAGTGGGACACGTTGTTAGCTACCCTGTGATACTACATTTTAAGGTGTACTTTTCTAAACGACAATCGGCGAAAGACAAATTTAAACTCATAGTTTAAAAATAATAACCAGTTGATCATTTTTGAATCTCAAAAACAGGTTTTTAAAACTTCTTATGGCTTTCCGAACCACATAAACATTCTTTTAACGAAGCTAGCACCACAAGAATGCTATTTAATTATTTTCCACAAAAATGTTGCTTAAAAAATTTTTAAACTTACGAAAATACTTAAAATTAGAGGAAAAAATATTTTTAAAATTTTAATTTTTTGACAATTGCCGAGGCTATGTCTTTTGCTACAGTATATAAACTTTAACCATTTTAGTATAACTTTCTAAACACACATTTTTTACATCGATTTTATTACTAGCAAAACAAAAAATATCGCGTCATTACGTGGTCAAACGCTAAATATTTCTGTCCAATTGTTGATCAGCAATGGACTAAGTTCAAAGTAAAACAAAAATATTTGGGACAAGTGCCGACAACGTTTTGTCCACTGTTAGCCAGCGATCTTTGGGCATCACTGGGCGAAGGACTCAGCCTTGCTTGGCACTTAAGTGCGTTCCGAGGCCTCTAGATATTTGATATTGGGCTATTTGCTTTGGCATGCAGCTTGATTGCGGCCTTTAGAGGGAGTGGGATGACCTTTTGCGAATCCCCGTGGCATGCAGATAGTTTGAGGAATGAGGGCATAGATTCATTAAAAATGGAGGCAAAAGTATTTCTTATTAAGCTTTTGCAGTAAAAACAAGAATAAATGATATTGATAAAATATACCCGTTACTTAGTTACTTAGCTATTCAATTTCATAATAGATATGCAACCCTCTGCAAGACTGCAACATTTTTACTATTAACTTCTAAGATAAGATAAATTCGATGTGAAATTTATGTGTCTACCGATAGAAATGACCGAAACTATCATACACAGCCCAATAAAGATATATCATATTTATTTTTTCTATTCCTTCTACCTCGTATTAACTTGCAGAGTACACGTATATTCTATTCATTGTAAAGAAGTTAGAAGGAACAAAAGAAATAAATGTGTACTTCCATTAAGAATTTTAATGACGTCTTACTATTTTCCCTCAAGTATGGAAAATATGTTTCTGACTCAAAACAAATTACTTTTTGATTAAGATTGTATATTCGTTTTATTCACAAAAATAAAAAGATACAATTTATTTAAGATTGTAATAATAGTATGTATTTATTAGCGGTATTAATCTAAAAGCCATTTGTTCTCAACCGATGCTGCACTCGATGGGTTACGTAGCAATCTCTCCATGAAAATTGGAGGCAGGTACAAATTATAAGATATTGCACCATCCGATAAATCTACTTAAAGCGTTGCCTTTCCCCCAGTGAGACGTTACGTAGTCGGCCAAGGACCACCTTTGGAAGTGCGGGATCGGGAAAGGACCTCACGTGCTGCCACAACAAAGGAGCCAACAAAAGTCAGCCGAGCAATCGGAGTGCGGCAGCAAGGACCAACACAAACGACAGCAAATTATTCGCTGTCAGGACAGGACAACGGAGTAGCAGTCGCAGGACTCGAGTGTGCGTGTGGGAGATTCCGCAGGACAGTGCAGGGGATTGCGTGTCTGGCAAGTCGGCGACCGAAAATCAAAAGAAAATTGATATTAAGAAATTGCACGAAATGAGTAAATGAAGCGTGGACGCCTAATGGACTGACGTCTAAGCCGAACCGAATCAAGGAGGGCGTCTGATTGCCACCTTGGAAAAGATGTATTAAAAATTCCACGAAAACTAATCAATGTCAAATGTCCGTTGATTGTTCCATGCCGAC